GTTTCCACTAGAGTTTGAGAGTCTATGGCATTAAAGCGTGTCATCATTGCTGTGTTACTTTTGTCTAAATAGGGTGGTGATCCAACATTTTTTTCAAAACTTTTAGCTATTTTTGGCTCAACAATGGCATGAAAGTCTGGGTTGGAGTGAGACAAAGTTGAGCCGGGCTCTCTGGGGTTTGCCCTTTGATCTGGGGAGCTTTGAAGGACCCTGGAGGACACACTGGGACTGTGGACATGAACTAAAGCTTCATGCGGCTCAAGTGGCCTCATTTGATAAGGAAAGCTTCCTTGACCTCCATTTCTTTTCTTTTTATTATGTTTTAGTTTCTTTCTGTGCCAGGCTGACATTTGGCATGACATTTCCAGTAGAGTTTTTCCTCAGTGAGAAAACAACCCAACATACACTTGCACAAACAAAGAGTAAGATATACAGAAAACAGTTAAGAGGGAAGCATCGGGGGACGTAGCAATTTTCTTCTCTGTTAAGCAGGATGATGAGATGATTTGTTGGATCAAATCACTTTCTATTAAACGGTGACTTTGCAAAGGGAAAGGAGGCAGACATGATGGGTACCCAAACAAATGAGGAAGAAATATCCCGATCGTAATGTTTGCCACAGACGCCATCATGAGCAGCGTAAACAGAAGGAAAAACCTTTTTCATTTGTGATTAAAAAAAAACTTTGATTGTCTTTTCATGTGCGGTTTATCGCTCTGCGACGTTTGAGCATCCAGCTAATCTGTCTTTCCACTTCTCCTTCTTCTCCTAGACCGCATCAATCTCCATGCACCCCCCCAACTAACTCAGCCCACTCAGACTCATTATTAAGGGGACATATTGGAAAACCATTAGCTCTCATTACGCTTCTCGTTCTCCCCATTCTGTCTTTTAATCACAATACATCCTGTGTGTGTGTGTGTGTGTTCGTGTGGCAGTATGCTCGGCAGACAGTAATGAGCCACTTTCCCTCTAATGCTTTTGGGACGCCACAGAGTCCCCCCCTCACCCCTTCCCCTCCTCTTTGATTCTTGTGGTGGCGTCTATAGCTCACGCGCCACCTTTTAGTGGAAGCCTTTTGCTTCTTGTAGCTCCGAATAACCAGCCTCTGGTAGGTGCTGGATGTCCTGTCGCAGCTCCGTATCGGATTGTTCTCGGGTTTAATTATCCACGATCACACGCGTGTGTTCGTGCACACGCGTGTTTTGTTGGCACACGGGGAGGCACAGCAGTTTGGACCATTCAAAGAACACACACACACACACTTGTGTAATATGCAGATTTTAATTCTTCTTACCCGGCCAAGTCACCTGACATCCTTGTGCAGCAAAACTCCCATAATCCATCTGTTGCATGACAGCATCCCAACAGCAGAGAGAAAAGCTCTTTCTTTATGTGTCTCTCTGTCTCGATCTCCTCCTTTTTTTCCTCCATTGTCACTCCCTCCTTTTCACATTCACCCTCTGGACCAGTTTTTATTCTCCTATGATCTTTTTTCTTTTTTTCTCCTTTTCCAATTACATCTTTCCCATTTAATCTCCTTTTTCTCTGGAAACTTTTATCTGGGCTTGATTACGCTAGAGAGGCTCAGTGGAAAGAAAATTAAGTGATATCGTGCAATTATTGTTGACCATGAGGATGATGGTAATGAAGATATTCATACTCATAATTGTGTTGCAGAGATGATAGTGATGACAATGGTGCTGTTAACAAAGCTGATTAAACCGGAGCTGAGGGTGACGATGATGATGATGATAATAATGGTACTTGCTTGCTGTTTGAGCAATGTCCATGTTTTCACCTTGTTCCAGATGGAGAGAGACAGACAGAGGGGACGGACGCCGGCCGTAAGAGGGACACTCGCTCCTCGGCTGGTCACCACAAGAGTGAGGACACCAGCGACAGCAGGGAGGACGAGCCTGCAGTGAGTCTTCCTTCATGTTGTCTTTCTTCTTTTCCGTCTCACAGGAGATGTGGGATGATGCAATGCAACAATGGTGGCGAAATATCTGTACTGCACTGTACTGAATTTGAATATTGTTTCCAACCCTGGTAGCACACAGGTCTAAATATATTGTGAAAACATAATTCAATCTAACCTCCTCCTCCTCCTCGAGAGTTTTTCTCATAGCTTTTGTGCTGAGGGATGTGAAATTTCACAGTTACATATCCAACCGCAGAACGTGAGGCCGAGTTTGGACCAACGGCAGAGATCATTGGCACTTTCTACATGCAGCCGTAAACTGCGGCGAGAATTTTGACACTTGTACTCTTCATTTCTGCTGATGCGATCATTTTTATTTTCATACTTTTAATTCGTGGTTACTGCAGATTGCTGATGAACGGTTCGATCGCCAGCGGGAGGAGGAAGGCTTGTGGGGAGTTGCATCACACAGCACTCTAGTCTGATGGAGGTTTAAAATAATCTTTCTGCAAGCAATTCGGTTAATGAATAAACGTTTGTAAAATAGTAAACCTTTTATTTAAAATATTCATACTATACCAAATGTATTTAATAGCCAAGTCTCTATCTATAGATTTTTATTTGAGTGCTTTCACAGCATCATGCTCTGTTTAACATTATTATCGTATGTTTTAATATCCGTAGTGTTCCCTACTCTTATGCACCGCAGGGCAGGGTTTTGGTGAGCGGGCATGTGGAGATCGGAGATGTGGAGGTGTCGAATAAATGAAAAAGACATGCCCAACTGGTTCATAATCAAGGACCTAAGAGTCACTGGTGCAGATTAGCAGGTCTGAGCAGGCGGACATGCCGCTCCCCCACAAACATCTCCATTGTTTTTGTTGAACATCTTAGTTCCGATGGTTTTTCAGTTAAAATCACTTTATATTTGATCTTCCCTTCGATATTCTGTACGGGATCCGAACACCAGTTCGCAAAAGCCCATACTGAGCGATATAACCCCCTCCTACCCGTGCTGTCCTCCTGTGTGTCATTAGAACCCCCTCCTTCCTCAGTCCACCGGCTTTCCGGGCCAGAGCCTGCCGCTCACGTTGACGGGCCGTCTGCCGTGACGTGGCACATTGCCTGAGGCTCCGCTATCTGTCGGGCTCCTCGGCGGTGGCAAAAGAATCGGGGTCGTGAAGAAAATGTAGAGTGGTTAAATGTTTACCGTCGCCGTGTTGAATATTTGATGTGAAAGGGGCCAGAAGTATCGTAGAGCAATGAATGACACCGATGGAGGAGATGTTTCCCATTTCGTGATTGGTACAAATGATGGAAGTGTCTGTGCTCGCTGGAGAGGGTCATTAAATCTGGGCTCAAAGTCCCTGAGAAGCTGCTGCATGTGGATTGGATTGAAAACAAAGTAGACTCTCGGATTTCTGTCCTGCATGTGCGGCGAAACGTCACCCTCAGCGCGGCAGATCAAACGCACACTTTGGCCGCACACACACAAAAAGCTGCGGCTGCAGCAGTTTTAAGACCCAAACACGGTTTAAGTTAAAAAACCCAAAATGTCGTTAACGCTGTATTTCTGTTGACAAACCGAGGGGACTGTGCGAGAGAAGAAGAAGAAGAAGAAGATGATGATGATATATCTTATTCCGTAAAATGACGTCGTCTTCAGGAATCGATTCAAGCGAAGGCTTAAGCTAAATGTGCTTGAAGAGATAAGAGTCATGAAGTGGGAGCTGCCGGCGTCTGGTTGAATGCACTTATTGTACGTCGCTTTGGATAAAAGCGTCAGCTAAATGACATGTAATGTAATGTAATGTAATGTAATGTCTCTTTCTGAAAACGGACCCCTAAACCCCAAACCTGCCTGACGGCATTACGGCTCCTCTTCTGTAACCGTCAAATGGAAAGCAGCTCTCCGGATGAGTCGGCCTCGTAAACTGAAGCTCAAATATTTTGGCGGAGCTGTAAGCGTTCTGCTGAAGTCACTGAAATTTTAATAGCATCGCTTTGTCGTTTTCCTCCCTAAAGAACGGATAATGGATCTGTTTTGCCCCCCCGAATAATGATCGGTTGAGCCATGTTCATATTTGGGAGATAAACACGCTCTAAATCATCACTATTGCAATATGGGAGATGGAGTCAGCAGGGAGGTGCTTAGTAGGATTGACAATCCTTAACGTGGCTACCTGTAACATGGCTTATTGGCATCGAGCGCTTTGTTATATCCCTCTGAGAGGTGTGTGTTTGCGCATCAACACGGCTCACCCTTAAGACTCTCCTGGTAAGCTCCATAACCGCATCTTCCTTCATCCATAATTCACCTGCCCATTTACCGGCTCTTTGTTCCAGCGATCCTGGACTTCCGAGTGTGTGTGTGTGTGTGTGCGCGTGCGTGCATGTGTGTGTGCGTGTGCGCCGACCGTGCTGCGTTTCCTGCCGCTCGTTCAGAGCCGGCATCTCGAGGGAAAAAAAAAAGCCAGGCAACGTAATTGACACCTGCAGTCAATATGAAGATGAGTGGGAACGCCCCCTTCACTTAGAAAATGTCATAGCCAAAGGCCAACTTGCTGTGTGTTTCCTGTGGGGGGGGGGGGGGGGGGGGGTAATAATGTGCTGTAATATGGGTTATGTTAGGGGGTTCTGAAGGCTTTCTCTGATAAGCTCACGGCTGGCTCCCTATAGCTGCCATTTTTGAATTTTAAAAACATACAGACAAGCCTTTAAGATTAATGGACAACCTCAAAGGAAGTGAAATGACCTTTCAAGTGAGCAGAACAAGCTCTTTACAGAAGGGCGATACGAGGACCGTTTCTCACACAACATGCTTAGTCACAGTTATTGAGGACTTTTTCTGAGCCTGCATCACACAAATGACACTCTCACGTGTCGTCTTTGTTTACCGCACTCTGTGACTGCTGCTTCCTCTTCTGAAGTGCTCTGGAAAGAGCCGAGCCGCATCCTCGGCGTGAGTAGAGGGAAGGAGGTGAACGCTGGTTAATATTTCCCGTGCCCCTCTTGTTTGTTGTCAGATGGCGAAGCGCTGGCTCGAAGAGGGAGTGTTATCCTGAGCACACTAGAGGGAAGTACACTGAAAAAAATGATTCGGACCCCTTTTAAATATTACTTGATTTATTCAAGGTTATTTCACTGATTTGAACGTGTTATTGAATCCTACTTATCTTTTTTAATTAATCACATACACAACACATTCTTCCATGGTTTAGAAAAAGCTTATTTCCTTCATTTAAAAGTTACATGAAAAAAATGTCTACATTTTACAACCACATTCAACTTCCACATCTGCGCATGTGCGACCACAAACCGCCCCTGGAGGACGCGGGAATCTTTTTCACTTTTAAAGATTTGCTATATCTCCTGGCTGTCTGGGTATCCAAGGCTCTACGTTTTCAGTAAGTAAACATCTTAAATTCATGGCTGTATTATATTTTCACTTTAACCGGATTTAGTTGCCACCAAGAAAAGTAGTTGGCTGTCTGCTGTGTGTTAATAAAATGTTAACTGAGGCTATAGCTGCTAACGTTAGCTTAATGTTGCCTACATCATTAAGGCTAGGTTAGCATTAGTAGACTCGTTTTAAGTGAAAATAATTATCTAACTGGTGCCGATGATATCAATATAAATGCGTGATGCATCAAATGCCTTTCTTGTTGGACTTTCTCGTGAGTTTGTGGCCACTAAAAGTCGAACCTAACCAATGTCAATTGACTAGCTAACGCTAGCTGATAGCTAACGTTAGCTAACGCTAGCTGATAGCTAATGTTAGCTAACGTTAATAGCTTGTAGCTTCACCTTCCCGGCTTTCTCGGCATGTAGAAAGGTTTAACGTTACGGACCCACTTTAAGTGTATTTTTAACTTGAACCTATCAGTGCGGTAATATTAGGATGAACAATAACTAAACTTAAATCCTATTGATAAAAGTGCGCTTGCTGCTCTCTGGCGCCAAATGGGTTGATGTTAACGGCCATTACGTGAGTCGCGCGCGGCTCTGCTCTGCTCAACTCTTTTCTGTGGTATATTTTCCCTTTGTGGTGCCTTTTCTCGGCTATACACTAATGAGCTAGCGTTAGCTTAAACATGTAGGTAGCTCTGAGAGCACGGAGGAAATGCGCTTCAATGCGGGGAAAATGTAAGCTGCAGCTGCTCTGTAGATAACAGAGGAGGACAAGCAAGGTCGATTCATGACCACTGTCCGGTAAAAAATACTTTTTAGTTGTTGGCCAAAAACTAAATGGATAGGATAATATTGGCGTTTGCCTGCCGTGCCAAAATAGTTTAGCTTCGTTTTCAGCTCTGGTTTCATTAGAAATTAACTAACTATTGTAGCCTACCCACAGTATTTTGTCTGTTAATAATTGAGAATTGATACTAATCATATATATATATATATATATATATATATACACTTTTTGAATAAAAAAAATTACATATGAATAATTAATGTTTAAGAAACATTTCTGCCATTTGTTGCTTATTTCTATAGTAATATGAGGGTTTATTTAAATACAAAATGTGTTTGTTGGGATCTAATTTGAGTCATTATCTTAACCCAAGTCAGTAATGATTATTGAACATTACTTATTTTTCCTAAAATAAATACCTGAATTGTATTTTCAGGTATATATGTATTTTTTTGCAGTTTTTTCTATCTGATGTTGGTGTGATGTGGAACTCTTTGGGGACCTCATAAAGTTTTGGTAAGTACATTTAACAAACAAACTCTTCACAGGTATGCTGATCCCAGCAGTACTGCTGAGGATAAATATTCTGTAACGTTGTGGTATTTTTGCTCTCTATAGGGCAGTTATGCCACTGATCATATGTAGGCACTCAACAACTTTTGTGCAAATGATTTTTGTCCTCTTTAGTCAGCTTAATATTACATTTCCTGGGACAAACAATGAGTTAAATTAATTACTCATCTTTTGTTAGCTCTACAGTGCAGGAGTTTTAAGTACCACGGGTGACTGAATAAACATCATCACTAATTTTTTTTTTTTCTTCTCTCTTTGTTGTTTGTCTAGTTTATGTGGCAGTGTAAAGACTGTGGCACTGAAGTGTCGAGGCGATCAGAGATTCTTAAACATTACAAACTAAAACATAGTCATTTTGGACGTGGCCCTCACATTAAGTGTGTATATCCTGATTGGCCTGCACTTTTCCATATCGATGAGGTAAGCACATGCTAGCTATTTTCCCAATGTGCCTCTTGTCTTTGTACAACAGAATATTGCACCAATACTCTGTATTTTGTCTTTTTGTTCTTTGATAAGATACATGCTGAATTCCAACGCATTACAGCCATCCCACTGGAATCTACCTTCATGGCACGGTTGGACAGCCATTTAGCCCAATTGACATCCATCTTCCAGATGAAGGGAGGAGTTGCTGGCCAGAAACTAGCTAAACATCTGGAGATTTTGCAAGAAGTAAATATGTACACCAATCATTATGACATGTAAAATGTCATGTATATATGTGATGATGAAAACATTAAGTTATATTGTACATTTAGGTTATTACATTTTATAAATATTGTTCAGTTTATTGAAATTGTTGTACTTATTTATGTATTTCTTATTATTATTTAATAATTATAATTCTTTAACACAGGAGACAAGTGATGTCAATCTGAAAAGGACAGCTATCCTAAAGGCTCTTTGCATCTACCTGGGTGAGGACGAGGGACAGCTCGTTTGGGAGTATATAGTAAGTCATTGGGATTGATTTGCCTGTCACATGTTATGTTTTAAGATCCTAATGTCACCCACATACGTTTTCAGAGGTTCATGTTATCATTGACAGACGGTTGAGAATATTCATATAAAATTAACAACTTGCTGCACAGCATCGTCGTTCCTATGTACATCTTTAATAACACCTCACAGATATATAGTTTTATTTAAATACATATAAAATGGGATCAGATTTATCTAAGAGATTATTATGTATGGTGGCAATGTTCATACAGTAAAGTATACGTCATTGAAATTAAATACATTTCATGAATCGTGTTCTTTTCTCCTATTCTCTTTACACATACAGGACATTGAAGGAAATGACATCCTGAGAGACCTGCAAAAGCATACCATGAGTATATATGTCATCAACAAGGAGGGTGGAGAAATGTGACATTGTGATGACATTGGAATTTTCGTTGAAGGAGTAATCATTCTCGACAACTGTGGATCTGTGGCCCGCGCTTGTGCAATGATGCTGGGAGTCATCTACGCTCTGAACATGGCTTACCCCAAAGAGCTAAGATACTATTACGAATTCCTTCAGAAAGTTCTCTTTCGAATGGATGCTGAAAGGCTTTCCCCCAAAATCCTTGGACTAAGGAACAAAATAGATGCTGGACTGTAGGAAATCTTCAGCCACTCTTGTGAACTGGTCTCATTGCATTGCAGAAGAAAAGAGTCGACGTAATTAAAAAGCACCAGTCAAACCCGGGTAAACGATATATATGGCACACTGAAAAGATGTTTGTTCCATTTATTGATGTGACAGTTAGTCTCGTTCTGGCTCTACACAGATTTGCTATTTTCATCTTCCGCTAGTATCGGAGAGTAAAATTTTCTGGAGGTTTAAGTCACATGTTTCATTATGCCTTGATTTATTCGCTGACGAATAAGTCTGTTCCCAATGCACTTGGTCTTTTTTTTTTATAATACACCAACTTTTGTGCCTTAGTTGAGCATGTGAGATTTGTTTGTTTATTTTTTTCTATTTTTATATATACATATATATTATGACTGGTACTCTAGCACACACACACACAGCTCTGTTGGAACTTTTTGATTTTAAAGCCTCCTGAATAGTCTGCAACACCTCATTGAAGCACTGAAGATAAGATAATAAATACAACACATTTATAGAACATACAAAATAGAAGAACATATCCATCTAAAGAAAAATGAATAAGAGGTAGCACAAGATTTTGATAGTGTCGTTTATTTGTTGCTCAGTCTGTTGGATTGTGTTGAGGGGCTTATTGCATTAAAGCAACTGGTTTATATATATGTAATGTACATATAAACATTTAATGTATATATATGTAATGTATAGGTAATGTGTGTGTATATATACATCCAGTTGTGGAAAAGAATGTTCTTTCTTTTGTTTAGATTATTATGTAAGGTGTATTATAATATGCCCTTTGCTTTTTTTGAATAAAATACACTGATGATTGACTAATGGCATTTCATTTGATGAGACTTAATTTTAGTATGTATAATTTAAACAATAAATTGATTAGAATGTAAATAAATAGAATAGTTACAGTTAGCTAATTCATTTGATTAAACTGAACATGGGTTTAGTTGGAATTTTTTAATACATTTGAGTTAACTCTACTCAAAACAGTTGAGCAGAAATTATAAATAAAAGTAGGCTGAAATTAGTTGAAAATAATGAGTACAATTTACTTAAAAAATATGTCTGGATTTAGATAAATTTATTTTGTGCATTTACTTACCTAACAAAAATTAAGTAATTCAACACATTTTTTTCAGTGTAGGGAAAGGCCGAGAGGGGACGGAGAGGGTTAAGTGGGCAGACCGGAGGGAGGACATGAGGCGAAATCACAAGCAAAGAGCGGTGAGAAGATGAGCGCATCGTTTGTAGAGGAATGAAATTGTGTCTCCTCAGTGAAAAGCTGTGAATGAACAGCAATGGTACAATCCAATTGTAGCCTTGTTTGGATCCAAACAGGAAGCCAACCAAAGGTACTTTTTTAATGAAATTGTTTGAATGGTTTGTAAGTTAGCCGATTTTAAATAACAATTATAATGTTGTAGGCCTTGCGACGTAGGGTGAAGTTTGCTCTCAACACAGAGGAGTGACCTCTGGTGCAAAAAACATGAAACAAGTCGGAGGATCCTGACGGTTTTAAACAAACATTAAGATGCTTTGGAAGCAAAAAGTGTCCGTTCCAAACGCACACGACAGCACAGACGGATTTCCTCTCAGCCTACCGTTGCTTTTCCGTGTGCTCGCACACGCTGTCTCTGTGCAACGGAGACTTGCTGCTGGCGCTGGGAATTCAGTTTCCCCCCTAAAACCAAGTGTGATCAAAGTTGAGGGAAACAACGGGCACAGCTACGCGTGTTCGTTCCATTTAGTCGTTCCATTTCTGTAGGCGGGGATCAAATCAAATCACAGGGCTATTGCTATATTTAGGATTGATTTGTTGTTTACATTTTTGCATTCAAAACCTTTTTAGAGTACTGGCCCTTTAAGGCATGTGTAACCCCTTGACAGTTAATTAATCCCTGTGATGCGACATTACTTTGATAACAAGCCGAAGCCCTGCAAACATCCACTTCTCTCTGTTGTTTTTCAAACTTGGGGGGGGGTGTGAACGTCGGTTAGAGGGCTCCGAGTCCAGGATTGTTTTTCCCTCCGTGTGCTTCAGTGCCTTCCGTCACCGTGAGTATCACCACTCAGGCGTTTGCCAGCCTGGTGTTGGTCCACAGAGGAAGGAGATCTAATCTGTGGGCCCTGCAATAAACTCCAAGGCCTCGGCGGCCGACCGACTCCGAGGTCCGCAGTGTGTTTCATAGCCGACAGACGTGTGAAGGCTGTTTGTCGAGACCAGCAGCTCGATCCTTGATCATGCGCTGGTTCCACATACCGACCGGATCAATTTGATTTCATGAGAGCATGTAGTTTTGCTTTCCGTCCTCTACATCCCACGTAGGGAAGAAAGGAACTCAGCGGGATCACGCTCGATCCCACGCTGTTGAAGATTCCTGCCCTTTTTTCCTCATTTGATCTGGTTCCATGCAGGCTGGCTGCGATCCAGCTCCGGTCAGTGGAGCTGTTGGCAGCTGTGCCGTTTGCGGCAGTTTGTTGCGTTTCACGCTAGGGCCACGCTGGGTGAAGGTCATCGGGGGTCAAAATGACGTGACACAAGACCTAATAGGTTTGCTTTATTTTCTCACCTCCGCCCAGCTCTCGCTGTGGGGCATTTTCTATTACACTGATATGACGGATGCCTGCTGAGTGTTGTTAAAGTGAAAAAGCGGTTGGAAGCCATTGAGTTAAGGGCGGCAGATCCCATCATGCCAAGAGAAATGATGCTACAAGGTTTTGTCAGGGTCTGGTCCATCAAAATGATGATGATATTAATAGAACGTTGTTGGTGAACCACCCTTTTGTTTGGCAAATCAGGTCATGTTTGACAATTGAGCTCTGCTATTTTAAGTGATTTTTGTCACGGCTGTAATTTTATTCAATGGGAATTTCCTTTGCATAAATACAACAATATAAGTTTGAAACGGACGCCGGGTTGTGGGAGTTGGTTTGCATCCCACTGGGAACATTTCCTGCTTTCGTCAGTATTCCCTGTCCGCCACAGTTAGTGCAAGTTCCATAACGCTTGCTTACGAGCTGACGAGGTGGATTTCCTTGTTTTGCTGCAGTTTTCAGCTCCTCCCTTTTTGGAGATTTCTAGAGATGGCAGCTGGCGCGGGTCTCTCGTTTTGCTTTTCGCCTGCACTCTTTTCTTTTATGGTCTGAAAACATTTACCAGTGAACAATCCCAGAACCAATCAGCCGTTACGAAGATGGATAAGAGGGAAACATTGGGTTTACTGTTGAGCCAGCAGTTTCCAGGCCAGGTCTGTCTTTTGAGTGCGCTCGCCGTTGTTTTACAGTCCGATTAGCAACTTGTTGCTTTTTACAGGTTAACACCTGATTAGGTGTAGAAACATGTCGTAACAACAGCGTTTTGGGGTTCAGTTTTATCTGGACCTTTTTAACTCCCACTTCAATAATCCTTTCAAATTGTTCCCATACATTCGTCTGGCTTTGCGTCGTACGTTGTCGCCCCCTTGCTATGCGTCTTTCGTCTTTTCTCGATCATTGCACTCCCCTCATTCCACCGCTGTGTGCGTGTGTGTGTTTGCAGTCCATAACGTGTTGTCTCATGTGGTGCACCAGCCCGCGGGCCTCACTCCTCATTGATCTCCGCTGTCCCCACGCTGTCCTGGCAGAGGCTAGACACTCGGAGCCCATTGATTGATCTTTGCCTGCCTCACCACGCACCTCGTTCTCCTCCTCTTTCATTTGCCTCATCATCACGTCTCTGTCTCCACTTCTTTAGCCCCTGTCAAACTGAATAGTATTGCCTCATTTTTACATGTAGTTAACATGGTGAAAAGTAACTTAAAGTCCACTATTGATCCCCAGTGTATAAACACCTGATGTACTTGTAATAGGGATTTTGATGGTAACTTGCCGGACTTTTATTGATAGAAAAAACTGTCCCTCTACAGGTGAAAGTTAACAGCTTTTAAAATATTTTTTAAACATGCAAGGGAAGATCAGGGAGCGTGCGTTTGGGAAAAATACTACCACTTAAAATGAAATTGGTCAACGCGACTGTGAGGGAATACTATGCATGCAGATGTGAGCAGGTGCTCGCCTATTATTTCCTCCCCTCTCCATCATCTGCTCTTCGACTCCTCGACATGATTATTGTCTGTGCGTCCACAGACCTCCTCCTGCTCCTACTCCTTTTCCTCTCACCTCATCGTTATGGATGTGAGAAAAGCGTTCAGTTAAATTGACATCAGTCCATTGTGATTCAGGTATAATGGTATAATAATGCCAGGATATTTTTCTCAATACAACATGCCACACTTAATATTTTCAGATGACAGTGCTGTGATTACCATAGAAACCACAACTGGAGTCTGACCTTTAAAAGTCTTTGCAAGTAGGTATTAAATAAGACATACCTAATTAACAAGCTTTTCCAATCGTGCCACATACATCAGATATGGGCGTGCACTTAATGTGCTGCTATGACAACCCGCCCGTCGTAATGGCACTTTGGGGAAAGAAATATGAAGATGAAGATGATTTTAGATTAGAAATTGATTGTGAAACAGCTGAGAAAAAGGATAAAGGGTGATCAGTCTTCACGTATCCTTTCCGGGTTAAAGGCCTAAACAGGCCGACCAGGCAGTTTATTCATCTGGCTGCAGGACAAACTGCTGAAGCACTCTGGCTCTATCGTTATTGTCAGGATATCAATTCCTCTAAGCGTCCTCCTGGATTCGTTCTGTTAACCGACACACTGTCCTGATTTTTCTCTAATGTGCCAGCAGAAGTTGGCAAATATGCGTTGACCGTGGAGTCGTTATAGTGGGCTGGGAGGCATTGATGGATCTGGAGATTTCAGCCTTTGTGATGGCGGCTTGATGGAGAACATTTTTATTGGCTTTTTCAATGTCCTCAAGGGTCAGGAGCAACACTATGCAACCAGTGATCAATGTTGTCCTTATTCTTATATTCCTGTGTGTAAATATATGACAGGTTACTTTCTTTTATTTGTGTATGTACTATAAGTGGAAAAACCCTGCATCATAATTAGAAATGCACCATTATTGATACCTATATTGGACAGCTGTCTGAAATCACTCAGATAGCTGGAATGGGTAGCATTGACTTTTGGCCCATTAGGTATTTGATACCAATATTTTAAATAATAACGAGGTGCATTCCTGAGGTAGCCCTACTAAAAGAAAAATGATCCCAGCAATTTCCAAACCGTGAGTATTAGTTTATTAATGAAACGCTGGTATCGGATCGGCAGGTACTCAAAGCAATGGTGTCATGTGAATCAAACATTAATTAGCCAGCATCACACGTACAGACACAATCTTTAACAACAATGATACCCCCCCCCCCCCCGCCCTGCCCCGCCCCAGAAGAATCACAACAGGTTATCAGCACAAAGTGGCTTAATATATTAAAACTAACCAACCAGTTTGTGTTCATATGGGAGGGAGAGATGAGAATGAGCGCGCAAAGATGTTCTAAAAACGTGTCCAGCCGGTTGAATCCAATCAAAAGAGAGTCTTCAAATCTTTGCCAGATGGCTGGGAATTGGTAACGTTTAAGGTCTCCCTAAAGTACTAAAAGCCATCTTAAAACCGCAAACACACCCTGCGAGGCTTGACATGTCTCCATCGTCTCACATCTGTTCTGTCCCCATTGTTATTGGCGAATATGTGCTGTGATAAATTCATTTTTTGTTCTCTTTTTGCATGAAACCGTTCATGTCCTTCTGCCCTGGCTTTTTTTTTTTTACAGAAGAGGTTGAGGTGTCATTTGTGGATAAAGGGACTTTTTATTGGCAAACAAGTGTTCTCTGAAGAGTCACAATATCTCAAGAAAAGGTTGTAATTAAATAA